GCCCGTAGTTTCGAAGTTAAGACCGACTCGTCTCCGACACCTCCGACGGTGATTATCGGTCCCGCTCAACGAGCGCGTTCGTTAACGAACTGTCGGCACGCGGCCGGCGTTAATCGAGGCCCGCATCGATGAAGCGGTCGAGCCTCGCTCGTCAATGGGACGCGTTCATTGAGGGAGCGCCGGCGAGCGCCGCGAGCGGGATCGTAAAGAATGCTCGCCTCTCCGCCGGCCCGTCGCGTGAAGGAGGGGGGAGGGTATTTTCAAGGAATTTCGCCGCGGATTATTTCACGGTGATACCCCGCGGGCGAGAGGGTTCCTCTTCCGTCAATTTCGCGTCGTGAAAGGACGGGTCCTGAGCCCTGCTCATACACGAGAAAAAAAAATAATAAAAAGTGAAAAAGAAAAAAAACGAAAGAGAAAAAAAACCTACATACGGAAAGAACATGAACTTAAAATCAAAAGAAAAAAAACTAAACTAAAAAAAAATTAATTTGAGGCAAACCATGCTAATAGAAAGAGAGAAGNAAGGGGGGAGGGGGGGAGGGTATCTTCGAGGAATTTCGCCGCGGATTATTTCACGGTGATACCCCGCGGGCGAGAGGGTTCCTCTTCCGTCGATTTCGCGTCGTGAGAGGACGGGTCCGCCTGCGTGCGGGGCTTATAGAGCGAGTTTTCTGCCGCTCCATTGGACGGCGAGGTCGAATCGCCGGTCGAAGGAGAGGAGCGAGAAAAAGAGAGAGAGAAAGATAAGAAGATGAGGAAGAAGAGGAAGAAAAAAAAGAAAAGAGAAAGAGAGTGGGTGAGACAGAGAGAGAGAGAGAAGGAGGGAGAAAGTCGACGAAGGTGGGACGAAGTGAACGCGGAGAGAGAAGCGAACCTCCGTCGTTCGCCGTCACGCGAACTTCTGTTGGCCGCAACGTGGAAAGGCCTCGTTCGCCCGTCCGACTTGACAGCTCGAAATCTGCTATCGGACATGATAAATATAGGTCCCGGGGAATTAAGTCAGCCGCGGATCTCCGCGTGGCGAACGAGTTCCGCCGCGGTGATCCGGGGTATCCGTTGTGTGGCTTTTGAATTTATTTCCTTCCTCTGCTTCGTTTTTCGTTCTCCCCCTCCCCCCCCCCCCCCCCCCCCCCTTT